GTTGTGTATATCGCTACCATGCTAGTCCCCTTCTTCTCCATGCCCACACTTCCCCCTTTAACGTTCTCATGGTGGTCTCAACAACGTCCGCAGTTACATTTTGAGGGGAAAAAAAACGTTTATATGCGCCTTATAGTCGCGAAAATACGGTAAATAAGATTTAATAAAAGTGTTACAATTTTTTCAATAAATAAATGAAGGTTTCAGACTCTAAGGGAACACAGGTTTGACTTTTAATACCTGATTTAAAGAAAGACGCTGAAAAAGAATATCTTAAACTATTGAATTTAAGTTATAAATCAGCTGTAAGGACCAGAGCTGCCTCTGATAGAGCCAGAAAGAGCACCTTGCTTGATCACCAATTCTAATGAAGCTGATTTGTCTGCTAATGCAGATCCTTCCACCTCCATCGGCTGCTGCTGGACTATTCATTAAAGGTGTCAAAGTTTTTTTTACCAAGGTAGAAGAAACAGTTTTGTAGAAGTTAGAGGGTCAACTTAAGCTTTTTACTCAAGTAAAAGTGTTAAAGTACCATTTTTAAAACTACTAAAAGTAAAAAAGTAAAAGTAATTCAGGAAAAATGTTAAGAACAGAATCTTGAACTACCCTATTAAAGGAACATTTTTCTACAATTCTGGATGAGAACTTCCTTAGACTTAATTTTCTTAGTGTTATAACTAAAACAATGTCAACTTTAAATATGTACTGTATCATCTTGAAGAACTACTTATTTTGGTATGTTGGTGCAACACCACAAAGAAATTTTATTTATGGTTTGTATTTTATTTAAATACCAACAGACCATAGCTCAAATGAGCTTAAATGAAACAAAAGTCACAAGTATATTTTTAAAATGTCGAGTTTAAAGTACAGATAACTGCAAAAAAAAAAATAAAAAAATGTGAGGGGAGAACTTAAACAGTTGTCATAAAAATAATTACTCCAGTAAAGTATAGATGTTCAAAATTTCTACTTAAGGTACCAAAGTATTTGTACTTTGTTACTTGACACCTCTGCCAATCATTGGTTCTGCAGTAGGAGTTGTATGGCTGCCTCAAACTGCTCTGAAACAGAAAGTAGTATCGGTTCCAGAAAAGTGAAGGAAAGCATCCATTTTTCTTTTTGTGTTCGGGAAGTTACGTAGGACCCAAGCTCCATGGTTTATGTGCATTAATGAACACCAAATAGACTGATAAAGTCTAGAATACAGTTCAAAGTAAATAATTATTGCAACCAAATCTGGCAGGGTTTACCTTTTTGGCTCCAGTTCAGACGTTGAAGGTTTTTCTTGTTGGGTTCGATGGTCCTTTCCTACTAAGAACTCAATGGGAGAGGAGCCATCAAGAGGGGCAGAATATCCAATCAGACGCTGATCATGAGTTAACTTAAGAGCCACATCACTTTTTTGAGAAAAATAAAACATGAATTAATTTATCTTATAAGAGGCACTACTTTGGGAGAGGAAAGCAACTTCAGCAATTTAGCATTCTCAGTATAACTAACCTTTCAAATGTGTCATCACTGTATTGAGTAGAAATACAAGCACTGAGTGAAAAGTACTGGTGATCAAAAGGGACTTTTCCAGAGATAAAGACATTTCAAGGTTGATGTTTTGAGTCTAGGCGCTTGTTTGATATAAAAACATATCAAATATATTTTTGCTAGATCTTAGAGACTCGTCATTACATTTTAAAAAGGCCCGTGAGTAGCAAAGGTGAAAGGTCAAATCTGCTTACTTTGTGTGCCCTTACCCTAACATTTTGTTTCCTCTTTTGCAGGCTGTATTACTGAATGGTATCTTACAAATTGTTGAAGCCAACATGGACATGGAGCCTCTCCACTTCCTGACTTTTCCAATACTCCATGGGGTTTCAACACCCGCCGGCTCATCCCCTGGCTCCAGGCAGGTCAGTGCTGCCGGAGGCAAAGGCGTCAATCTGCTGTGGAAGGGTAAACTTTCTCCTGGTCGCAGGGAAGGGGAACCAGACTACCATCCGGGCCACCTTTGGTCTTCTCCATGGCACATGGCGCCTCTCCACCTTCCTCTAGTGGGGCAGAACTGCTGGCCCCACATGGCCCCCGGCTTCAGTGCCTCAATGTGGCTACGGGTGCCTGAGCTCGCAGAGAAGAGTGCGGACAACGGTCTGTCGCATTCCGATACATTTCTGCTTGATCGTTTTGAAGATGGAAGCTTTATAAGATCTGCTTTATTTTCTAGAAGAAGACATCCGCCCTGCATCAGAGTCCCATCCCGTTTTGTCTCAGACTGGAACAAAATCAACAGAAGAAAGCCTTGTTCATATTCTCTCCATGGGCTCCAAGGCACTGATGCTCCAAGTGTGGGCAGACCTCTCTAAATGCTCTCTGACATTCAGGTGTGGTTCAGCCTACGCCACTACTCTAAGGCTTAATGAGGCTTAAATAGGCTGCTACGTCTAAGATATACCCTATATAAACGTTCAAGCTCTATAAATCTTCACTCTTACAGGATTTGTATTGACCCAAATGACGAGATAAAGGCAGGACTGTTGGCACAGGCAGAGTCAGGAGAGGGACTGTTCAAACGAGGGCAATGGCAGCACCTGGGCCTCACTTACAGCCAGCAGCCAGAGGGCAAGAAGAACATCCACAGCCGTGTCGTCGTGTGGGTGTGTGGCATCTGGTGAGAGAAGTTGTCTTAAAAATGTTAACTGGAATGCTGGTTTTAGTTGTTAAACATTGAAGTTTGTTTAAAATTCTTTTCTTTTAGGAAATGTGAGGTTTTTCTGGACTACACTTTGCCTCGTAAGTCCAGTTTATCGTCTGACAGTAACAAAACCTTCTGCATGTTGGGCCATTGCACCGTATCATCTGAGGAACTGGTGAAGCCGACAGGACGGTGGTCCATGGGCACTGTGCTTCTCTTTAATGGTAAGACTTCTGGGATATTTATAGAGCCTTGCCTTTTAGGTTTTCTTCCAGTGTTTAGCTTCATCCATCTATTAACCAACTCTGAAGAAAAGCATACCTACAGCATGTTACCGTCACCACAATGTTTCACCAGAAAGGCACTTTGTGCTTTGGTTAAAAAGATACCTTTTTGTTTAAAACCTTTTTCCTTATTCTTCATAATGGTTTTTGTTTAAAAGCTGAATAGAGAAGAATTAAACTTTATTGTCATTACACTGTCACAAGTACAAAGCGACAAAATTCACTCTCTGTTTTTTTACCCATGCCTTTGGGAAGCAGTGGGCTGCCATTGTGCAGCACTCGGGGAGTAGTGTGGGGGTTAAGGGTCTTGCTCATGGACCCAGAGTTGCAGCCTGTGCGAGTGGGGCTTGAACTCAGAACCTCTGGGATCCAAGCACAATGCCCTAACCATTAGACCACCACTCCCCCACAATTACTCAAAGCTAAATTTAAACACATATTTACACTTTTATTTAGCTAAGTTAGATGGAATGGGGCTAAATGCAAAAAGATGCCCATAAATAGATATTTATTACTGAAGAAAGTTGAAAATCTTATATTTTTTCCCTTTCGCAATTATAAACCCCTTTGTGTTGGATTATTTGAAATAATCCTAGTGAACTAGTACCTAGTAAACAGGTTTGAATATTTTTCCAAAGCCCTGTATTTAAATGAAAATACATTAAAGATGTTTGGCCTCCTTGAACTTCATTGCTTTATGCTTCAGTCTGTCCTCACTGCTGCCCTCTAGTGGCAGAATCAAGGAACTGTATCCTGTATCAGTGGCAGGGTCTGCATTGTGTCTCAGTTCCTCTCTTGCTGTCACCATTCCCCCCGAAAAAAGAAATCTCAACACTCATGTTTTTTTTTATCACAGCTCAGCATCACCAAGGTTTTTAGCATTCAGTAGGGCAAATGTTGTCTTCGAGAGAAAGTCAGCAAGATGTCAAGATTTTCAAAAAAAACATCAAGGTGCACCATAGGGCGCCCCACATTGCAAGATTATTGATGTTCTACTTTTTAGATGAATAACTCATGGTGTTTTTGCTGGATTGGATCAAAAATCTTGCTTTTTTTATTTTTATAAAAAAAAAGAGAAAAAAACAGACATTTGTGCTTTTCTTTCCTATCAGGGTCCAGAATCGGATCGGAGGAGGCTTTCTTCCTCTACTCCAGTGGACCAGACCTCACGTCAATCATGCCTTGTAAATACGGCAAGTCGAGTGGATCAATATCCAAGTTCGTCTCCCAAGAAGGCCTTAGGTGTGAACATGTCAGAGAGATCCTGATGAAGAACAAGGACATCGACACAACAGCGTTGGTTGTAAGTCTCTTCATAGTTTAAACACACAGAACTAGTGAGTTATTAACTTAAGTGCAGATAGATGTTGTATGTTGGGTGATTTCTGTTTATTCATGTAACTATAAAGCCTCTTTTTTACTAGTAATGGTTTAATGCTTCCTGTTTTCTGAGATGAATAATAAGCAGAAGGAAGCTGTTTTTTTAAACCACATAAAAAGCTATTTTAGTTAAGCTGCAGCTATTAAAAGAGGAACAAACTACTTAGTAGGTGTGCTGTTTAAAACGGCAGGTCCTGCAGCAATCAAAAAAAAAAAAAAGATAAAATATTTTAAGTAACCACATTTTGTAAAAGAAAAAGAAATGTGATGGTGTTTATTTATTTATTTTGTGTCTCAACAGGAAAGCTTGGCAATAGTCTATACCCCCAGCAGCCCAAGAGTCTACACAATATATGAGCCTGTGATCAGACTGAAAGGTCAGGCCAAGACGGTGGTCACCCAGCGGCCCTTCAGCTCCAAAGAGGTGCAAAGCATCTCCCTGGACGCAAACGCCTTTAGATCTCTGCTTCCTACTGAAACCCACGGCCTGCAGAGTGTCCTCCACAAGATCGGAGGAACGGGGAACTTTGTCTTCCTCTTTGCACAGGTATCATTTATAGACCTATAGAAATAAATGTATTAAAATGCATTTTAATATAGAATAAAGTATTTAATTATTGGCCACATATTATTGTTGTGCTTGCAAATTTGTGCTTGTATAATAAAACAAAAGGGTAAATCGTTTAAAACAGCTGTTGTTGTATAAGCGTTGCAATGCAATTGGTTATTTTTACAGGACCGTTTGCTCCTTGCACTAGCTGTATCTCCAGTGTTCTGTCTTTTAAGGTAGACTTTCTTCTTTTCTCCCCCCCTCCCTGTCTCTGGGCTTTGCCATGTCCAGACGGTGGAGCTGAGTGACTGCGAGAAGACCCAGGCTCTGGCCCTGCGAGTGCTGCTGTCTCTCTGCAAGCACAACCAACACCGCATCCATGAGATGGACTGTTACCATGGTTACTCCATGATCCATCAGGTTCTCATCAAATCCAAATGCATCGTGGGATATCATATGCTGAAAGTGAGTCACACGTTGAACTCCTTGTTTGCCGTTTGCTCCATTTCTGTATTTCCACCGTGTCTGATCCGGCCCGACAGATCGGTTCCTCTCTGGGCCCGGTGCCGGTGACCCCGCTGTTACTTGACCCTCCGGCTGAGTGTGTAATAGAGCTGTGCTGAAACCGATTCTGTCTGACTTGATGAAACACTGAGCTTCCCACAGACGTCCACAGCACCTCGGATTGCCTTTCTCTCCATCCTTTTATAGTGAGCGGAGAGCCGCGTTGATCGGTCATGCTACTCGCTCATAATTATTCCAATATAAAGGGGAACATGCCGTGCTACTATTACAGTTTGTTCTCATCGTTTCGTCTCCATTCAATCTGTAAATTAAATCTATCTTTCGTATCTTCTCAGAGAACATATTTAATGGAACTCTTCACCTCTGCTATCCCTTTAAATTAGTAGCTATTAGACTTTAAGCTTCTAACATTTATTACTGAAAAAGAAATCCTTAAGGGCTGAAGATTTATGACCTCTGCAGGGAGGCTGGTGATAGATCAGAGTTTTATCAATACTGACACGGCTGCTCAGTGGGTAAACGTCATCCATTAAAATAGAGTCATAAACTTTTCAATAATTTCATTGCTAATGTATTGATTTGTCTTCCTTTTTTCAGATCTGGATCGATCTGTTTTGGTGTTTAGCTCGATTAGTTTGAACAGCACTCAGGCACTGACGCGTCTTGTGTTTGTAGACTCTTCTGGATGGTTGTTGCAGTGGATCGGTTCTCCTCCTTGGGGACGATGGTCAGTTTCGATTTGACACCGAGTCTGCGGCTGTGGTTCAGGATACGAGGCTCCTCTCACATATTCTGCTGGATTGGAAGATTTGGGCCAAGGCTGAGGTAAACACACGCAGAAAGACTGGTGTTGTGTTTCATAAGCAAGCATCAGCATCAGCTGTTCTTAAAGTTTAAAAACCGACCTCTTTTAATATTTAGGATCTAAAAAGACACAACTTCTTAAGATGGTTAGCTCCAGTAAGTTCCAGTAGCAAGTAGTTGTCCTGATACAACTTTTAGACCGTTTCTCGATTCACAAGAAAGCGAGTACTGACTCGTGTTCTCGCTAAGTATGTTCATTGAGAAGTACGCAGGAAATTACAGACTATGGGTTAATTAGAACAGAAGCGAACTCGTGACTTCACCACATGCTCAGCTGGTCTGGAGCTGCATTTCACCTCCTGTTATTAATAGTCTCTAGATAATAATAAATTCTTACTTTTTTCATTTATTGGGGGAATCATAATCAACACTGTCAGATAAACACAAATCAAATGAACATTTTGCTAAATAAAGCAAGAAAACTCTCCATCAGAGCCAGCTGTACTTCACACGGTTATGCCGAGAGAGGGCTGCTGCAGACAAGCTAACATTAAACCTGGCTGCAGTTAGGCTCGGAGGTCCGCTGATTGCAGCAATCCTCTCAACATCGGAAATTTTGCACAAAATTAGTAAATGGGCCATATAGTGTCGCTTAAAAGTATAATGTTCTCGCCTTAAATTATCTTAAAATATACTTTTAGACTGGAAAAATTCTAGAAATTTCAAAAAATCTAGAAATAAGTAAAAATTTCTTAAATTAAGTGCAGGGGTCTTTAACGTTTTCCAGGCCAAGGACCCCCAAACTGATGGTGAGAAGGAGCGGGGACCCCTTAATTATATATATTGTACGAAATTGTGTTACAGTGAACCCTCGCTATAACGTGGTTCATTTTTCACGGTCTCGCTGCTTCACGGATTTGCATCATGCATTGTTAAACTTTATTGTCAAGCATATTAATGGTGGCATGTCGGTTTATAAGGATCTTTTGTCCCAGAAGAAAAAAGAGCGACAACAACTACTGATAACTATGTTCTTCTCTCCAAAAAACACACCTGCACCGCAGGCTTTAGAAGAAAAAAACACCACAGAGCAGAGTCAGGATGCAGCGGCTCCGTCAGAACAGCAGTGAAATACTGTACTGTACACGTCAGTCACTATTTGTCCTACTGTACTTTGTATTTTTTTTCATAATCATTTTTTATTTTCTCCCGTTCCAATCCGTCACGGCGGGGCGGTGCTGATCAACGCAATATTAACCCTTCAGTTCGTATTGATGATTAAAATTATTACTTATTTATTTAGAACTATATTATTTTACAGTACAGCACAGTAGTTAACAACGTTTATACCGTACTTTTATTTGTTAAACAAATGCTTGGGCCAGGAAAAAGTTTTTGTTCCTTGATTTCAATTTTATATGGAGTATTTCATTGTATAATAACTGTAAAAAAAAAAGGTTTCTACTTCACGGATTTCACCTATCGCGGGTTCTTTTTGGAACGTAACCCCCGCAATAAACGAGGGTTCACTGTATATCAAACTGGTCCTATAGTTACTCTATTACAGATGGAGTAATGTAACGAAGTGCTACTTTTAAACTTAAACTGCCGGAAGAAAAAGTGTCAGAAAAAAAGCAGGCAAACATTGATGTGCAGAGAACCAGCATCTGTCCCCAAAGGAAACATTGACTTTCCTCTCCTGCAGGATTTCTGATGACCTCACCTTGAGCTGACCTCGTAAACCAGCAGCGCGTGTCGAGCCAATTCATCCTGCTTGTCACAGTATAAATATGTGAATACAAGCTATGTTAAATGTTTTCCAAATGCAACATTCAGTTTAAATTCAATTCAGTTTATTTATATAATGCATATTCACAACACATGACACCTCAAGGCACTTTACAGAGACAATTCAACCAGATCATACAGTCAGACTGGTTCATTATTTTTTATTTATCTTAGAAAAACCAGCTAATTGCATCGATTCATTGATTCGAAGGCAATCCCTCACACCAAGCATGCTTGTAATGACAGTAGACAGGAAAACTCTCTTTAAACAGGAAGAAACCTCCAGCAGAACCAGACTCAGAGTGAGCTTCTGATGGATGTAATAAGATGTCTTAAAACTTAAAAAAGTGGAGGCTAATCTCCTGGATCTGACTTCCTGGTGATGCTTAAAGTTTGGGCTTGGTGCAGATAAACTGTGGCTAAATAAATCACGGTGGGATTATGTATATGAATAATCTGAAATCCCTGTTTTCTCAGTTTGGCGTTTGGGAAGCACTACTTGCTGCTTTAGAGATCCTCATCAGGGTGCATCACCCATATCAGGTCTACAACATCCGCCAGTTCCTGAACGCTGAAATCGTGCATCGTTTCCTGCTCACCTGCCAGGTGTTACAGGTAGCCCAGCCTTTTATATGCTGTATTGTTTCCCCACTTCCTCTCATTCACAGTCACTAAGAATGTGTTTCTATTAAGGAGCACCGGGATGACCATCTGAAAGCCATCCCACAGGACGTGTGTTTGTCCTTCATCAAAATCATTCAGGAGGTACTGGGCTCTCCTCCAGACATGGATCTACTGAAGCTCATCTGTAACTTCCTGCTGGCCGTTCACCCGCCCACCAACACCTATGTCTGCCACACCCCATCCAGCTTCTACTTCTCTTTGCACATTGGTGAGGAAGCACTCCAGCTGTCTGCATCATCTCTATATTGAAGCCTCATTGATTGGATGCATTCAGCTCTCTTTGATGTAACTATTTTTCAGATGGGAAGCTCTACCAGGAAAAGGTGCAGTCCATTATGTACTTAAGACGCTCCAACAGCGGAGGGAAGTCTGCCAGCAGCTCGGTCATGTCGCTCTCCCCGACGGTTTTCACCGATGGTCCCCATGAAGGTAAATGTAGCTGATTAAAGAAACTCGATCTGTTTGTTCCTGAGGCGAATATTAACCAAGCTGCAGACAGGAAGTGCATGAGGGATCGTTTACTGTATTGAGCAAAATTGGGACCATAAAGAATGTAAGCTAAAAATAAAAAAAAGTTCGGCAAAATAAGGAGATTTAAACCTGGAAAGAAAAAGTTTGAACTTTAGGTTGCATTTTTTGTCTTAATTGCAAAGTTTTTCCACAAAATTACACTTTTTTTTTTTATCGATTTAACAATTTTTTTTTTCCAAACTTGCAGACTGTTTTGTTTGCCTTTAAATTATTGCTCTTTTTTATTGTGTGTGTGTATATTCTTGATAAATAAATAAGCTATAGGTAGGAATGATTGTCCATCAAGCTGCCATTGTAATTTATGACATTATATATAGAAACTATAACAGAAACAGAAAAGGGCTCCACATGAAACCTTAATGAACAATTAATGCAACTTACCCTGCATGGAAAACAGGTTCAAGCAAGGAAGAAGCTCTTATTTGCACAGAAAGCCAATGTCCTATGAGAACAGTGGAAGTTGATACTTCTTTAGATTTAAGTTCAAATGCAAAATGTACATTTCTGGTAGTAGAGGTCATGTTATTGTATTTAGTAATCAGGGAGGAAGAAGAGGGTGAAAAAAGGAGGATAGTATTTTCATTGCTATGGCTGAAACGGATGGTGAAGGTGTTTAAAATCTCTCCCATTCAAATACAAAGTATGCAGACTGAGAAAACATCTTAATGCAGATTTGATACCTGGAAACATCCTGTAGACAAAATGGACAGTTTGTTCAAAGATTTGATAGAGAATATGAGACACTGCCTGCTTGTTGGTGAGGATTTACCAGATATGCAGCTGATCTGAGGCGTTTATTAACTAGCGTCATCATTTTAGGCCATCTCCACGCTCCTTCTCCTGAACACGGCGGCGATGATCAGTCCTTACGGCCCCCCAGCTTTGGTCTTTCTCCTTACTCCTCACCTCTGGCGACTCCTCGACTCGGCCACGGCAGCTCCAGTGAAGCGACCGAAGGAGACAACGGCTCCTTCACCTCTCAGCAAGCGCTCGGCAGCACAGAGACGCTCAAGAAGATCGGAGGGGACGAGCAGCTCCTGAGCAGCTGCGAATCGGCCAAGACGATCTGTGACTCCAAGGAGATGGAGGAGGGTTCTGCTCCTCGCACCCCATCCATCAGCGTGGAGGAGGAGCGGGACGAAGCAGCAGAGGTTGACAGCTTGGCAGAGGGCAGCGTGGGGGTGGTAGAGTCTGAGGAGTGGGCTGGCGAGGAGGCGCCGCGCCGCCCTGACAGTCTTAAGGGAATCCAGTCCTTCCAGAGGAGCCACAGCAACCTGACCAGTCTGGGTCTGGCCTTCCCATTCCCTAACGGTTCTCTGGCAGTCGCCCGCTGGCCCAGCGCAGCAGACCGAGCATCCATGCCTGAAGACTGGGAGAGCTACACCTACTCTCCCGGCTCTGACAGAACTCACAGCAAGACTGAGCCCAACGACAGGTAGCTACTGCTTACCACTAAAAACAGCCCATAATCCCCCAATCTTCACTTCATACTGAAAAAGGTTTGTTTGTCTCAGGTCCAGCACAGAGGATTGCTTGGTGCTGATCTGCTGTGGACTCTATGACCTTCTGAGGGGCGTCCTGCTGCTGCTGCCTGACCTCATGCTGGAGGAGGTAATGGACAAACTCATCCAACCAGAGGCTCTCATCGTCTTAGTCAATCATCCCTCACCTCTCGTCCAGCAAGGAGTCATGAAGGTGGGTTTGTAGCCTGCTGGAACATCGCTGTCTTTAGCAATGTGCTCATTCTAGCAATTGTTGCTGTAGAACAGGAGCACACAAGTGGGTTTATTTTTGCTGTGCAGCATGTTTTTAGAGTATTTATTTTTTCTCTTCATTGCTTTCAGCTACTAGACGCCTATTTCAGCAGAGCGCTCAAAGAACAGAAGGAGAAGTTCCTGAAGAACCATGGCTTCTCCCTGCTGGCCAACCAGCTGTACATCCACCAGGGGAGCCAGGGGCTTCTGGAATGCTTCCTGGAGATGCTGTTTGGACGACCCATGGGTTTAGAGGAAGAGTGAGTCCGCGCATTACTTCCAGAAGCATCTGAAGTTTTTTTCTTTTTAACTTTTGTTTGTATTATCTTCCATATTGCAGCCTTCATTTTTGGCCTAGTAGTTAGAGCAGTGAGTTGATCTATGAGAAGGGTGCAAGTACCAAGTTTGATCCCCACAGGCTGCAGTCTGGGTCCCTCGGGCGCCACACAATGGGAGCCCACTGCTCCTCAAGGGGATGGGTTAAATGCAGAGAGTGAATTTCCCCATTGCGATAAAATACAGGGAATTACACACATTTACACATTTATTTAATGACTAATATCTGATGCATACATGGAATGCAATGTCATGTTTTGTTTTTTTTATCGTTTCTTAGATATAGTTGAAAATTATGTGTAAACCTCTTCTGCTAATAAAAAAAAAAAATGTGGAGGCTATAGATTCTTAAATTCCACACAAAATACAGATTATTAATCTGGTGCTCAGATATAGACCAACATCTTTAGGTTAAGAGTCCCCAGAGAGTAAAACTCAACCATATGCTTTTTGTTTTACCTTTTGCTTATATGATCCTTCCTCTTGCAGAATTACTGGAGTTTGTTCAAATTGATTCCCTTTTTGTCACAAACAGCTTTTACACATAATAAAACAATGACAAATAAAGTTAACTTGTTTAAAGGGTTAGTTTTCTTGTTTTATGCATCAACTATTTCTTAGATTCCTAAACTGCAGATCTGTTTTTGGCTAATTTGCTTTTTTCTGCTTTTTGACATTTTCCTTTTAATTCAACCACAGTCTGACTGTAGTTTAAACACCTGAAAAATATTTTAAAACAATTAAAGTTACATCAGACCTAACCCTGTTTCCACACTGCAAAAATGATCTCAAAATGAGTAAAAATACCCTTAATTTGAGCAGGTAAATAAGATGCTTTGCCAGTGGAAGTAGTATTTTTACAAAGTGTCTCACTTAAATCCTTAATTCAAGAAAAAATGCACTCATTTTAAGAAGAAATTACATTATAGATACGGACTTAACACATCTCTTTTTTTTTTTTTGTTATTAAAGTTTTTTATTTTCCTTTAAACAATCAAACAAGTACGATACAAAGCTTGCATGGCATAGTATACAAAAAGTAACAGCTTATAACACATGGTCAGACAATTAACATAACTATAAGGATAAAAGCAGAAATAGACGGTGTTCCTGGATGATGAAGGGTAAAAAAAAAAAAAAAAAAAAATAATAACTAAAGAATAAATAGGTGAAAAAGATAAAATATAAAAGGGTCGCTACTGAGAAGTCAGGTAGACTTGAAAGAAATACCAATTATTTAACCCCACCTGTCCTTTGCTTCTCAGTCTAGTTAGCATAACCTCATATGATACCATTTCAGTCATTAAAACTTTCCATTCCTGGAATGTGGGGTGTTCAGATGCCTTCCAGTGTCTCAGTATAACTCTTGCAGCTGAAGACTTAACACATCTCTAAGTTTTTCTGTCGATTCTGAAATCACTGCTCAAGTGCAGCTGACAAATATCTGATCTTACTTTTGATTTTGCTGCTTCCCATCTGAAACATTGTGGTTCTGTTACATTTTGAGGAAAACTTACATTAAATGCAACGCCAGCATCCAGATTAAGATTATGTTTTAGGAACATCAGATATTTGTCCAACCGGATGTGATCTGAAAGAACAGACTTTGTGATCTGTCAGAAAAAAATCAGAGATGGGTTAAATTCCATTTAACCACTGGCAGGAAAACATGATACCTCCATCACCCTGCTTGACAGTAGGCAGGAGTTTCCATCTATTTCTTGATTTTAAAATGAAATAAAGATGCTTGTTATATAATCATTCCACCCTGCATATATATAAAGGAACACATTAGGAAAATCAATTGAAGCAGAAAAACAATTTCCACATCATCCGTCAGTGTTTAGCTGCTTCTCATTGTAACTTTGTTTGTAAATGTCTCTTGTTTCTGTCTCTACAGTCTTGACCTGGAGGAAATGGAAAATATCTCACCTTTCAGAAGGCGCTGCATCATCCCAGTGTTGGGTCTTATTGAAAACTCGCTGTATGAGAACTCCTTGGTGCACAACATCCTTTGTATGCTGCTGCAGCTCGTCAATGCCTGCCCCAAGCTGGCAGACATCCTGCTGGATCACGGGCTGCTCTACGTGCTCTTTAACACCCTATCGACCCTTAACGGCATGGAGAATGGGTAAGATGGGCAAAAACAGTGGAGGAATTGTAACAAGAAGAGAAAAATCTCACTGCTGTTCGTCTATCATCCTTATATCGGAAGCTGAGTTTGTTTGCTTCTTATTTTCTTATTCTTCTCTCCACCTCTCTGCAGTATTCCCCTGAATGATTACAAGCTCCTGGTGTGTGACATCCAGCAGATGTTAGTCGCTGTGACTATCCACTCCTGCAGCTCTTCTGGGTCTCAGTACTTCCGCATCATAGAAGACCTCATTACGCTGCTGGGTTTCATGCAAACCAGCAAGATGAGACGCACGCAGGGTGAGGCCTGGATTTCTAAAATTCAGTACACATCCAGACAATAAACGAGGCTTCTCATGCGCTGCATCTGGTCGTAGAGGATGAAACCGAGCGCTTGGGTTTCTGCTGCTGAAAGAAAAAAATAAAATTACTTCAGAGTAACATGAAAAAAATCTACATTACATCTCACATCTTGTCTTGCTGCTACATCATTTTCTGATCAATTGACTCTCTGAAAAGACCTCCCTGTCATGTGGTGTATCACATCTTTTTACTTCTTGGTAAAATTTTGAACTTAGATCATTTTCTTTCTTCTTCTGTAGCCATATAAAGACTGAGGTCTGACTGGTGATATTCGAAAAGAGATGGAGAATCAGGATTTTACTCTCCTGAGATAATTGCCAATGAGTATCTGGCATTTTATGCATTATAATGAATAGTGGGAAATGAAATCCTTTCGGTTTTAGGATTATGTTCCTTACCAGACAAATTAAAAACTACTCAATCTCATTATTTATTGATCAAAAGGAGAGAAAATTGTGAAAATGGTCTTCAGTGAATAGATATGAGTACCGTATTTTCTGGACTATAAGCTATAAGGGGAGCTCTACATATAGGCCCTGGAATAGGGATAAAGAAGAAGAATGCTAGCTCCTGTTAGCTTGTTGGCTCGCAGCAGTAAGAGCTTCTACTGAAAGATGGGGCTTGTCACTACCCGATCTGTCCCTGAAGCACGATCCGTTCTGCGCATGCGCCATCAGCTCATTTGCGCATGCGCATCCAGATATATATCCGGGTCGCCTTTGATTTTATTTTGTTAAAAAGACCTGAATTACATTTTTTCCTACCCCAAAAATAGTAAGCGTGCCAAAATATGTGTCGTCTCTTGCCAATCTGCACCGGAAATGGGATCCTACGCTACTTCCGTTGGCTAACTTTTTCAGCTTTGGATTTAAACATAAATCGAGTCTTTTTTTAATTTTATGTTTTCATTTCCTTTTAATCTTATGGTATATAGTGAGTGATCTGAAGAAACAAACAACTAAAATGCAGATAAACATGGTTTAAACATATTTTGACGGACTGCTCTGAGCATATGTGATGATGGCATCAGAGAAGCAGTTTAGCAAAGAAAATGTAAGAAGCATCAAATTTGTCTCACAAAAGTCATAAAGCATTTTTTTTAGATGTATATTAGCATTCCTTAGTGATTTAAGGATAGAAATAAGTAATTTTAGTACCATAATGACATTATTTATGAACACCCAAATTTATATCTGTTCGCTTATGCGCAGGACGGATCGTGCTTCCGGGACGTATCGGGTAGTGACAGGGTTTCCTCGGCTTTTTACTTCAGCTCTGCAGGAGTTAAGCCCTGTCTATTCATTGGTTCGAAAACTTTAATGAGGCAAATAAATGTCAGAATGTGTGAATTAAGGAGATTTCTTCTCTGTCATGCCTGCTGATGGCATGTTCTGATTTGTGAAAATCAGACCCTTTTTCTTTCATTTCCAACTTTGACTTCCCCCTCTAAGGAAAATAGAAAAGCTGCATCTTCTTAGAAGCCACCTGGTTTAAAGCGTGGGGAAAAAAGTAGCAGCTTATAGACCAGAAAATACGGTAGTTGTAAAAACTCTCCCGACCTTTAATCACTGTGTCGTGTGGTTCTGGAAGGATTTTAGCTGCTTTTATGATTTTACTTTTTAATTAGCAGCGTTGTTGAAGCTGCTCTGTTAGGATTAGATGGACAGATTTCTGCAGGACAGCTTCAGTCCCACTAATGGAAACAATACCTCATGTCTCTCACTGTCAATTCAAGCTTTATTCTTTTTTCTGTTGTTCCTACACCTGTGAACACGTTTTCTCTCTAGAGTGACAGTTTTAAACTCTTTTCCACCTTGAATTAGAAGCAGTAAGGTACTGATCTGTTTCTGCTACAAGTTAATAATTCATGAATCATGGTAGAGCTGTATCTAGCTGTGCTCCTCCACACAGACCTGATGGAAATCTGCATTTTTTTGCAATTTACTGGGTAGATTTAGGTGATTGTTTCAGTTTTTGGTGTCAGTCGGGAAGATAACAGAAAGCAAAGCTTTTAAAAGGGCATGCCCAATCTGTGTGTTCAGAAATGGCTGTGGCCCTGCAGTTCAGAGTCCTCCAGTCGGCCATCGAGTTCATAAAGACGACGGCCAACCAGGAGCCTGCGAAGCTGAGCAGTGCCGTCAACACACCCACCTCTCCGCATCACGCCAAATATCAGAAGCGAAGGAGCATTGCAGGTAAATGCTTTAGATTTAATTTCTTTTTTGCAGTGATCTGGTTCTGTCTGAAGTGTCGGTTTATTAAACCTCGTCTCATCCTGATCTAAAGGTTCCATTGCCATGAAAGACTCCATTATCCCCCGCATCCCCAGACAGCACTACTGCTCCTTTGGCCAAATCCCAATGTTCTCTCCCTTCAGCTTCCTGTCCCAGGACTCCCCCCTCCCCTCCCCCACTGGTACCCCGTCGTACATGCTCCACTGTGATGCAGGTAGCTGGGACCTTAGGTCCACAGCGGAGATCATCCTCCTCTTATTGGGGGGATATCTCCCACGTTTGCCGTGAACTTCGATCCTTCCCTCGCTTTGGGATTTCACTTTGCCCAGCATTCTCACGTGCTGCTGGTGCTTTCAAATCTGCACGCTACAATGCTTACCTGAGTCAGTGTCAAGCATTTCAGCAAACATCCTTCCCTCTTAAATATCTTCTCTTTGAAAAACTTTAGATTAAAATTCTTTTAAAGCTTCATATAAAAGATAACTTTTCAGAAATTCTCTCATGTTCCACTCGATAACTTCCATGTATTTCCTCAGTGTTTAATGTTATAGACCAAGAAAAAGTAGTGGTTCAGTACGAATGTTAATTACTCTCAATTCTAAAAAGTGTGGCATGCATTTTTATTGCTCTCTCCTGATTTAGCAGCCGCCAGAGGCACCTTCAGATGCTACTACAGCTCTAATTCTTAGTTTAAATGTGGATATTTTTTCCACTTCATTATAATTGATCACTATATGCTGGTCTATCACATTAAAGAAAACATAGAAGTCTGTGGCGAGGCTCTTTCTTTAGACGTGAAAGTATCCAAACTGAGCCCCTCATGTTGCGTCTGCAGGCCGGCGTCGGTTCTCTCTGGCCCAGACTGACTCCCTCCTGATGCGGATGCGCTCCGTAGCCAGCGATGAGCTCCACCAGATGATGCAGAGGAGGATGAGCCAGGAGAACCCGATCCGAGCAAGTGAGACCGAGTTTGTCCAACGCCTGCAGAGGCTTGTGGTTCTCGCTGTCAACAGGCTGATCTACAACGGTAAACAAAGTCAGATTCTCTGATGTTGCTCCTTTATTCATCCCCTTCTCTCATCTAATCGTAGTTCCTGTAATTTCAGATGTGAGTGAGGACTTGTTCGACCTGCTGAACATCCCAGACTCCCCAGACCATCACATCTTCACGCCAGAGCCAGGCGATCAAGCCCACGACGACAGCAGCTCGTCCTCCATCCCTCACTCTCCGATCCCTTTTATTCTTCCCCATGCGAGCAAGAAGAGTTTTCAGAAGGACATCCTGAAGCTGATGACGGATGGGATCAAAATCAGTCTGGTAAGAGCTCTTCTTTCTTCTTCTTTTTGTTTGTTGCTGCATCTTCTGACAAAGTGTTTGTGCTTCATGTGGCCACAGGGCAGCACTGGTCGGGGTGGAGCGCCAAATCACCAGTGGCGGAGGATCCTCTGGTCCTGCAGGGACACATTCAGGGTGCAAATCGGCCGTCTGCTGGTGCACACGCTCAGCCCATCACTTCCACTACAGGACCGAAAAGAGGCGCTTGACTTTGTTTTTGATCACAAGCATATCGATATCCTGAAGGAGAGCCTCAGCCCCGGACTAGAGGTGAATGAGAAACCCTGGTTTCTTCTGGAATGTTACTTACAGACCCTTATAATTAGCTTTATTCTCTGTTTCACTCAGCACGGACCAAAACTGTCACTATACCTGTACGAGATGTTGCACGATCACAAAGACGAGCTCACTAAAGAAGAGCAAAGTGCAGTGGGTGTCTTCATGACCTCGCTTAAGCTCTGCGGCCATCGCTGCATCCCGCCCAACGCTCCACACAAACACGATCTGCTCAAAGCTATAAAGGAGGTAACTTCTGTTGTTTTGCAGGAGAGGCCCCGGAGCTTTCAGGGCGAAAATATATGTTTATTAGGAGCTGTACGTATTAAAGGCATTCCGCTTTATTAATGCAGGAAAAACTCAAGTATGAAGCGGAAGAGAAAACGAGTAAAGCTGCGTGGGAAAAGAAAATGGCTCACGCACAGAAGAAGTAAGGTGGAAGTTTTTTTTTCTATATGCTAAAAAAAACTTGAATTATTTTTAATTCTCTCTTACTCCTCTTTAGTCTAATCCAGAGGCTTGATGGAAAATCCAAGGATATTTCCAAGATTGCGGCTGATATTACTCAGAATGTGTCTCTGCGGCAAGGCATGGAGAGGAAAAAGGTCATCCAGCACATCAGGGGTCTGTACAAGACGGAGCTGAGCGCCAGCCGCCACTGGCAGGAGCTGGTTCAGCAACTCACACACGATCGGTAGGCGTCACTTAATCTATACTTTAATTCAACTTAAAAGCATTTGCTATAGAGACTGAGACTTTATGATGATTAATACCTTCTGTTATTTGCATCATGCAAAAATAAGGAAAATGATGCAGTCCTAAAATTTTTATTTAGAAAAAATAAGTTACATTTAAGGATTTTCTGTTTCCCTACATTTAAAAAAATCAGACAAAAAAATAAATCGCTCAATTAAGTTTATTTCCTACCCCTCTTGCTATAAAGTTGTAGCTCCTGTGGTTTATTTTTATAAAAATATTCTAGTTCTGGTTGGAGTCCGGGGCTCGATGGTGTTTGCATTCCTCTCTTAGCATGCTTTGGTTCTCTCCATGTAATCCGTTGCCCTCGGACACCGCTCTCATAGATGCAGGGTTCCCGCGGGTCCTTAAAAAGTCTTAAAAGGCATTGAATTCTTCAAAATAAAACTATGGCCTTAATTGGTATTAAAATGTCTTAAATCAGTCTTTCATAGGTCTTAATTTTTAAAACATCATAAATAGGATTATTTTTGTTACGATTTATTTTTGCAATCTAAATAAAACATTAACGGCTCGCCATTATTGGTTCTGTCCCGATAGCGGAACCAATAAAAGCGTTGTTGCGGCCGGGACATTTGGGAGATGCGCCATCAACTTTTTGTCTGGAAAGTATGACCAAAATGTAACCAAAATTGGCTCCAGCCAAGAGTTTTCTCCATGGTTAAAACCAGAGAACAAACATGAGGCTCAGTGGATTTCGTGCAAGAAGTCATTCAAGCTCAGAACGATGGGAATTAAGGCAGTGGAGTCACACATGAGAAGCACGAAACACAAATCGTCAAAATCGAGTTACAGAGAAACAGCCGGTATTTCTCAGTTTAGTTCCACCCTTGTCTCTGCAACGCCTCCACTTATCACCAAATCAAACATACTAAGAAAACCATACAAAGAAAAATGGCTGCAAAAAAGACTTAGCACTGGTTATGTTGTGGCTTTAAAACTGCTTTTACCTTCTGTTTCAGGGCTGTTTGGTACGACCAGACGTCCTACCCAACGTCATGGCAGCTGGATCCCACTGAAGGCCCAAACCGAGAGAGGCGGCGGCTGCAGAGGTGCTACCTCACCATCCCAAACAAATACCTGCTCAAAGACAGACGGAAACCTGAAGGTAAATAAGCGGCCTTATAAACGCTCCTTTCTCAAAGCTTCCCCCTTGTCTTTTTGTTACTAAACATTTGTTTCTCCGTGATGCTTTCAGACGCAGTGAAGCCGCCTCTGTCCTTCCTATTTGAGGATAAGACTCACTCCTTCTTCTCCTCCACTGTGAAAGACAAAGCCACCAGCGAGTCCATCAGGTACAGCTCACTGATTTTCTCTGCCACAGTGTAAATATAATAATGGTATCAGAGTGTTAGAGTAATGGTTCTGCATGGATGGACCTACTGTAAGCGAACGGTGTTTCCTCCCCTTAGGTTCACCAGACGGTGCACCAGTGTCGCCCCCTCCAGAGAGACGGCAGGAGAGTTGCTGCTGGGTACGACCCCAACCATCACTCACAGCTTCCAGACACGAAAAATAAACCGTCTTCTTCTCATCGCATTAAAATTTTAATCCCATTTCCTCACAGGAAAGTCAGGGATGTACTTTGTGGAGGACAACGCCGCTGATGCTCGCGACAGCCAGGTAAGCAGCTGAGTGGTGCCTGCTGTGGGTTTTTGGTTAACCGCCTCGCTGATTATTTACCGTCTTTGTGTTTGACTAGATTCTTCAGGGAGAGACGGAGGCGCCATCTTTCTCCTGGACGTACGAGGAAATCAAGGAGGTGCACAAGAGATGGTGGCAGCTGAGAGACAACGCACTGGAGATATTTCTGACGAACGGCAGGACGTTGCTGTTAGCCTTCGACAACACCAAGGTGAGGGGGAAAATTAAGTTACCGGTGACTTGAAAAGGGATCTATAGGTGTGAGACTTAAAAGCAGTGTTAAAATAATGTTGTCTGCTTCGTCCCTTAATGATAAAACAGCAAAGAGATTTTGAATTTTAAAGGTATAATTGAAAAAACGGCAACGCTTTTAGCTAACTAAGACACACACTTTAAAAAATGTAAATCTAAATAAGTTATTTTCCCCTAAAATAAGTGCATTTTTTCTTGAACTGAGGTGGTAATTGAGACCCTTTGCCAATGGAACAAGACAATTAACATAAGGAAAAATATTGCATTGTCTTATTTCAAATGCATATTATCCAATTATCTTATTTTAAGAGTAAAAATACTCGTTCAATTGGAAAATAATCTTATTTACCTGCTTAAATTAAGGGTAAATACACTTAATTTAAGACATTTTTACTTATTTCTGAATTGTTTTTGCAGTACATGATGCTTCCCTCTAATGGCCGGCATAAATGGTGTGATTTTGGAGAGATTTTTGTTGGTCTTAAATATGCAGAAATATTACAGACAAAGCTTTGAACCCATGATTAGCAGCAGTGCTACAAAGTGCATCAGCGTACAGCCCACAATCTTCTAATTCTTAACTTGATTTAAAGGTTTTCACTGCTTAAGGAATTTATAAAACTTTGAATCTATTAAACTAATGCACAGATCTTATCTGAATTATTCTACAATAAATATACATGCTAATACATTTTGTCATCTGTTGAACATTTATTGCATTAGTGTTAAAGGGATGTAAAAGTGATTTTTAATCATTTTCATATTTATCACAAATTTGTCACAAATTGGTTATCGAATCATCATCTTTTTTATTATTCAATCAATCAATCAATCTCTTTATTTAGACACAATTATGGTCCATAAACAGACAAAAACAAGAACAATAATAAAAAAAAGAGAAAAATATATATATTTGTATATATAATAAAATAATCAATCACTGACATATAAACTAAAGCGCCAATGATTCCATTAAAGGTTTTTATAGCTAAACCCAATTTTGATCAGTCTAATTTAAACTCTCTTAAAGTCTCTGTTTTTGTGTTTAAGGTTTCTGTCAAAGTTCAATTTGTCTGAAGTGTTTAAATTTTAGTCAATTTACGCTTCTTAGTGTTGTATGATGTCTGATGGGCCCCTATATAAGGGGAGTGGCAACCTAGTGGTTGGGGCATACAGTAGGGCTTAGAATCCAGAGTTTCTGAGTTTTAGCCCCACTCCCACAGACTGCAACTCTGGGTCTCTGAGCAAGACCCTTAACCCCCGATTCCTCCCCGGGCGCCCCATGATGGCAGCCCACTGCTCCCCAAGGGGATGGGTTAAATGCAGAGGTAAATTTCTCCAATGTGAGATTAATAAAGTTCAATTATTATTATTATTATTGATCTGCATCCATTCAGAAACAAGAAAAGCTCAAATGTATGTTAGTTTTTTAGGCTGTTTTGCTCCACCATGCTTGCATATAGATGCTGATTTCTTCACCTTGATAGCACTGATTCTTTTAGATCACTTGTGTTCAAACCGGTGTATCTTAACAAATGACTCTGTGGTCTATGTTTCCCTGCTTTAGTTCCGAGACGACGTCTACCACAACATCCTGACCTCTGACCTTCCCAACCTGTTGGAGCATGGGAACATCTCAGCACTCACCCAACTGTGGGGCTCCGGTCAGATCACAAACTTTGAGTACCTCACCCATCTCAACAAGCACGCCGGCCGCTCCTTCAACGACCTCATGCAGTACCCGGTGTTCCCCTTCATCCTGAGCGACTACAGCAGCGAGACCATCGACCTGCAGGACACAAACATCTACAGGTCGGTACTTGGTACTGACTCTTAAAAAGCCATTTTATATGTGTGTTGATGATAATCGTGTATATTTCATTGTATTAACTCCATATACTGCCCCCCCCCTGCAAAGTCATAAAATATTTAATCATTAGGATGACATGTTTAAAGTTTATTTTTGTTTTTATTTGATTAACTTGTCTGTTATTATGGACTTTATGTATCACTTGCTTTAATGAACATTTAGACTTATTTTTATCCAACAATGCTAAATATTTATGGAGTACAAAACATACCTCTATTTGTTATTTGGGATGTTTGCAAAGGGTTAAAATATATCAATACAATGAAAAGGTTCATTCTCTGAAAACACACATCACTTTGTCTAAAAGAAGAATCAGTTTGAAATATAGGTATACTGATTGATAGCCTCGTAAGACCATCCTGATCTCGCGAGCTTTCAAGGTTTCACTCGCTAATCAGTCTGGAGACTCTCCGTTAAAGAAAATTTGGAACAGTTCACCAAACGAACGTCCAATCAGCGTTGGCTTTGAGGCGGGTTGAGGTGTGACGCAACGAGAAGCGCGACAGTTCAGTCTAAAGAACATGGCGGTTTCAGCCGATGAAATTAGCGTTAGCGTGGCTATTGAGCAAGTTTTATCGGAATTACAGAGTATTTCTTCACTGAAAGAAGAGCAAAACACTGCTCTGGAGGCTTTTCTCAGAGGAAAAGATGTTTTTGCTCTTCTCCCGACTGGTTTCGGCAAGAGTTTGATCTATCAATTGGCTCTTCATCGTCGCTCTGTTAGTACGTCATATGCTTCGTTGATCTGATTGGTTTATTTGGCCCATCTATCACCAACATAGGCCTATCAGCTAACCAGTATTTTCGCCCCTTCCCAAAATTACTTCAACGGAGGGTTTCCTGATGGATATGCGGAGCAAATCCATCTGGCGGAGTCAGGTTAACTGATTGATGCATGTTTTAGCATTTTCTCCTTTGACTAATTGCATAACATTTTAATTTTAATCATTTTAAAACCTAAAATCTTAAATGGAACAGGGGTTACATTGAAAGGGAAAAGTTTTTTTGTTCTTTTTAAACAAAGGTCATGTAATGTTTTTGGCTTTAAACTAGTTTTAGAAGCTGGTCTGAAATCTGGTCTTCTGAAAGGCCTTTCAGCAAGGTGTCAGACTGCTGTAATAATTCATAATAATTAATGTCTAGTGTTGCCATCCATGTGTGCTACCATCGGCTATACAATGACAGCTTGAATCATACATACTTTTAAATACTTATTTTGTAGCTTTGAATATAAAAAAGGTTTAAATCAGGTGATATTACTCAGAGAGAACAAAAGTCAAAACTGTTTCACTTTGCAGGAATTTAAGCAAACCCATTGCAGTTCAATCGAAAGAAAAAGAGGACCGATACGTCGATAATTACAAGGTAAGGCTTTCAGCACGTTCCAACTTGTATTTTTCATCGAGTTCGCTGAACGATTTCGGAAAAAAAACACATCTGCTTGGTTGTGTTTAATGCGCAGTATCTGGAGGAGGAGTACAAAAAGGGAATCCGTGAGGACGACCCCATGCCTCCGGTGCAGCCTTACCACTACGGCTCGCACTATTCCAACAGTGGCACGGTTCTGCACTTCCTGGTCCGAATGCCCCCGTTCACCAAGATGTTTCTCGCCTACCAGGGTCAGTTATGTGGTTATTTTCTCCTAACTTTAATGGGAAAAATAAAAAAAAAAGGAAAGTTAATTTTATAGTTTATGATTCATGAACAAAGATACACCACCTTTGATTTTCAGTATTTCTATAAATGTCTCTGCTTCTGAACTTGCTGGATTTTCTTGGTTTTATTTAGAATAGAGCAGAATATTGTTCCTTACTTTCTCTTTGCGTTTTGTCTGATCAGCCCCTTTCCTGTATTTAGTTTTTTCAATCATCCATCTCATCTATCTGATCTTCTGAGGCATCTTTTCATGCCGCTGCTAATGTATTCAGCAAGCAGTGTGTTTAAGGTCATGAAAGGAGGTGTTTTCTAAAGCAGTGGGCTGAATGTGAAATTCAATTTTCTTTGACCTCAATTAGACCAGAGCTTTGATATCCCGGACCGGACGTTTCACTCGATGAACACCACGTGGCGCCTGTCCTCCTACGAGTCCATGACTGACGTGAAGGAGCTCATCCCAGAGTTTTTCTACCTCCCAGAATTCCTGGTCAACAGAGAAGGTGATGATTTTCTCTTTTATTGTTACATAACGACTGTTTGTTAATGAATAGGTTTCCTTTTAACTACATACGGTTTTTGATTGCACAGGTTTTGATTTCGGGGTTCGTCAGAACGGCGATCGGGTGAACCATGTGAATTTACCACCATGGGCGCGCAATGACCCTCGTCTGTTCATCCTGATTCACCGCCAAGCCCTGGAGTCTGAGCACGTCTCCCAAACACTCTGTCAGTGGATCGACCTGGTGTTCGGACTCAAGCAGAAAGGCAAAGCGGCAGTCCAGGCCATCAACGTCTTCCACCCAGCTGTGAGTAAGAGGGGACCATCAAGTCTGCTTGAAAAGCCTTTTACGGTTTTCCTTACGCGATCTTTGTGTGTTGCTTCCCCAGACTTATTTTGGCATGGATGTATCCGCTGTAGAAGACCCAGTTCAGCGTCGTGCTCTGGAGACGATGATCAAAACATACGGCCAGACACCCAGGCAGCTCTTCAACGCCACTCACATCAGCAGGACTGCCCCGAAACTCTTGATGGAGGGTGAGCTCCCAGCAGCCATGGGGCTCCTGGTGCAGCTCGCTTTCAGAGAAACACGGGAACAGCCAAAGGAAATCGTCTGCCCGGTAATCCTCTCTATCATTTAAAAGTATAAGTCCCTGTGTGTTTGTTGGAGAACATTAATGTCGCGGCTTTTGTATTTTACCTGAGACCTCTGGGCCACTGTAGTAAAGTTAGCCAACAACACAATTATTACACACCTCAAAACTAATGGAAGAGGAGCTAAAAGAAGCCCAAAGGTTGTTAGAAATCTCATTGTTAAAAGCTATGCAGGGTCAGATTAAACTAACCTGTACACAGAGTATCTGTATGGAACGGAGCGGCCAGAGCCCGATCTCAAAGACAGGACGAACAGAGTCCGCTGAAACAGAAGTAATCAGATAACTATGGGCGAAAAGCAAAAACCTGTAATTTAAAAAAAGAAAAGCTCTTACAGCGGCCAGTTTAAGAGCATAATAAAGGGTAAATATTAGAACATCATGCTATTGCAGCTGCAGTCTTGTTATGGTTACAGAAAAGCACTGCTGCATTTTTGGCCCACCTCCTGTGATTGGTCGAGACTGTTTTAGACCAGAGAGTATTAACCCTTTACCAGGCTCCTTCATGCGCCAGGCTAAGAAGAAGAACATGGAGGAGGATGTACAGCAGATGTGTTTCTAATCTATGAAACGATTTGATGCTCATCTTCTAGTTTTCTCCTCCGCCTCCTCAGAGCCCACTGCCCTGGATCAAAGGCCTAAAGTGGGGTGAGTACGTAGGCTCTCCCTCTGCGCCCGACCCGGTGGTATGCTTCAGTCAGCCGCATGGGGAAAGGTTCGGATCCCTGCTGGCCCTGCCGACTCGAGCAATCTGTGGTCTGTCCCGCAACTTCTGCCTCATGATGATCTACAGCAAAGAGCAGGGTAAGAAAGACATTCTTGTATATTAACCTGTGAAGACACGTTTTAGCGTCGTCCAGACTCGACAGGCTTTATTCCCTCTGTTCTCCAGGTGTGAGGAGCATGCACAGCACAGACATCCAGTGGTCGGCTATCTTGAGCTGGGGATACGCGGACAACATATTAAGGCTTAAGAGCAAGCAGAGCGAACCGCCCATCAACTTCATCCAGTGTTCACAACTTCACCAGGTACATAAAGGTTTAAAATGATCGAGTTCAGACTTTGAAGACTCGCCAACGCTGCAGTGTTATTTACCCCATTTACTCTACTTTTGAAAAACTGTGCCGAGACCGGTCCGAGCTCGGATCAGTTAACCAG